GGTCCGGGAATGAAACGCGGGTCTTCACACCGGCCTCAGACACAGACAGACCACTTCGCTGCAGGCCTTCGACATTTTTCATATATATTTTTTTTACAAAACATTTTTATTATTTGTGTGCGCGCGCTTGAGGATGACAGAGACATCTCCTGGAGCTGGAGTTACAAGCAGCATTGGTTTCTTAGCCGCGGAGCTGTCTCTCCAGCCCCGTATATATGTTCTCAAATCCTAACAATGATACACTTTTAGCACTGATGTCCGGGCTGAGCTTTGCCCCTTACCTTTTCCTAGGGAGGCATCTCCTAGCAGTTTGGGATCTAATATGTCCTGGAAACTGCTGACCAGAACTGAATTGCTGAATTTGTTTCCTGGGAATCCATCAAGTCCTCGGCTCTTGGTTCAGTGGACCTTTTCAGGCTCCAATAGGAGGCCTCCTGTGCCATTCTCCCCTCTGGAATCTGGATAACTATTTTTCTTTTGGATCCTAGAACACCTCTTGCCTAGTTTTGTCACTGACCTGTCACATCCTAGCATAACAACATGTTTCTTTTCATTTCTAGCCAGCAAATGAAGTCAAGAACCTGGTCCTCCTGGTGACTTGTTCATGCTTAACGTTCTGGCCAATCAGGGCATTTCTAGTATGACTGCCCAAAGTCGAGTGATCTGGAGAATGGCTGCTATTAACCACAGGGGTTGAGGATGTCATGGTCCCTAAAGGTGGGCAGAGGCTTCGCAACTAACAAGAACACATGTAGCCCAGGCTGGCCTCGAACTCACGAGAGCAGCAGAGGATCATCTGGCACCCTTGATCTTCCTGCCTTCACGTTCTGAAGTTGTAGGCAGGTGCCACCACACCCAGCTTGACTGTCAAGATTTCTATGTGTTCGTTCTAGGATGGCTTTGCTCCATCACAAGCCCTTATCTGCAGGTGAGGAAACAGATGCTGACAAAATCAGGGCACTAGTCTGAAATACCCTTAGGAAGGAGCTGGATGGCCAGTGTCCGCCACCGTCAATTCGCCGGTCTGAACAAGCTCATTTGACCACCAGGAGGCGCCAGATGCCCGCTGATAGGAAGGCCCGGATACTCGCCAAGGGGTTACAGTGAATGATCTTTTGAGAGTGGCTTTGGGGACTGGGTGGGAGGACACATCTAGCAAGCCTGGGGAGTCGTGGTACAGAAAGAGTGTGTAGGGATCGGGCGGGGGGGGGGGGGGGGGGTAGGTGTTGTAAGAGAGCCAGGGTTCAGGAACGTAGGCGTCTGGAAGAGGAGCCAAGGGCGTTTTGTGGCCTCCTGGCTCTGCCTTGTCTGGCCCTGTTGCGGGTAAAGGGCAGCACCAGGGAAAAGGAGAATTCTCTAAAGAAATCGGCCTCTGCTTCCACCTCCGATCTCCTCAGAGAAGCTCACTGAGAACCTGGAGTAGACCGGACATTCCTAAATTTTCTGGCAAGAAAACCAGGAAATCAGATCTTAAGTCAGCCTCCTTACAGCCTAGCCAGTTCTGTCGAATAGGCCCCTTGCCCCAGGACTTCCCGGAAAAGCTCAGCTGTGCCAGGGGAGCCACCCTCAGGCTCTGGAGTCTGCTGCCTCTCAAATGTATCTCGGTATTGTTCCCTGTCCCTGGCTATGGGTCAGATCCATCTTCTAAGCATGGGTCTTGTACAGTGAACGGTCTCCGTGGGACACATTTGTTTGTCCTCTAAGCCCTCTTCTAGCTCCTCCTTCATGAATGCCAGTGTCTGCTTGCAGGGGCTCAGGAGTGGAGCTTGGTTTCTGCTTACCACTGCATCCCTCTGGCACTTAGCGGGTGCACCACAGACAATTTATTGACTGAACAAATGAGTAAATGCTTTCCCAAGAGTACTCAGAGGACACTGCCTTTCAGGGAGATGTCGGTGCCTCTGCATCGGCTAGGGGGCTGGGAATGGTGCATGAAGGAACTTCAATTGTGGCCCAGAATGGCTCACCTCTCCCTGGCCTCCCCAGCCATGACATGCCTGTGACTCGAATCTTGCATCCTGCCAATCTTCCCAGTCCCTTTTAGCTACTCTTGGAAACACCATTCACAGTTCCAACTATTCACAGTTCCAACAAACCAGCTCCTGCAGGCACCCACAGAGCTTCCCACATGTTGACTGCTACTTGAAGCTCTCTCCCCTTGGTACAATGTACCTACCTTGAACTTCTATACCTCCTTCCTCAGCTTCCCTAATGTTAGGGTTAAGATCATGCCTTTAATCCCAGCAACATGCCCAGAACTTGCTTCCTTTTCTGTTTCTCAAAAGGGAAACAAATTCATGCATTTGTTTATTTTATGTGTCCCCAGATGAGTTAGAAGCTTTGGGCCACACAGAAAACTCAGTTTGCATTGGCTTAAACAATCAGGGAAGTTCTTTGGAGACAGACTTGCTTGAAAATGTTTGGCTTTGAATTTATTATTGTGTGTGAGTGTGAATGACGTATGTGTGGGCATGTGGAGGTCAGAGGACAACTTTGCAGAGTCAATTCTCTCCTCTGTAAGGCTTGTATGACGAGCCTGAGATAGGCCTGTTTTACGGTTGGTTAATTCAGTGGCATAATCAAGGACTTAAGATTTTGGGGGCTGTAAGCCAACATGCATGCACGAGATCCCAGATCGAATGCCCAGTACTGCAAAAAACAATAAAGAAAAGCCAAAAACAGACCTGGCATTCAAGGGCTTAGGGTTTCAACACTGTCATCCTTGATGTGGGTTTTGTTTCTCAGGTTGGTTAGTGGGGTATACCCTAATTTCTGGCATCACAGTGTGACTTCACATCACATAAGCAGGGTTTCTCTGCTCATGTCACTGTTGCAGTGTGGCAAATAATCACAAAACACAGCCATCATTTAAAGCTTTGTCTCGGTTTTTGGAGGTGGCTAAACTGGCTGGTTCTAGCTCTAGGTGTCTCATAAGGTGACAGTCACACTGTCAGCAGGCCTAAAGTGGTTTGAAGGCTGGCCTGGGGCTGAAGCACCGTTTCCAAGTTTAGTCTCATAACTGTTGGCAGCATTTCCAAGTTTAGTCTCATAACTGCTGGCAGGAAGCTTCAGTTTCTGGGTATGCAGTTCTTTTATAAGGACTCTTTATTTCTACGCAGCCTTCATCCAGCCTGAGTGACCCAAGTACAATAAAGCAATCAAGGCAGAGGCCTCAACTGAGGGGAACACCATTCTTCCTGCTGTATTCTACTGGCTACTCAGGCCAACCCAGTTACAACACTCAGGATGCTGGGAGGTCATCTCAAAAACTATGTGCCACACAGGGTTTCTTTTTAAAGTGAGGCAGCCTTCTCCAGAAGTCCCCAGGAGGCTTCTCTTCACACCTGATGGCTAGAACCGTGGCATATGCACACACACACAAGCCAATCAATGGCTCACAGGGAATTCAGGACCATCGTTTTTTTTTTGTTGTTTTTTTTTTTTTTTTGGCTCATCACAGTCATGAGCTCCTAGGGCTAAAAGCCACCTCTGCTGAGGTGTGGGTTAGTGCTGGGAAGAAGAGCTTGGTGACCTGGAGAGGTTCTAGGTAATCTAGAGTCTATCCGGAATGAGTACGGGGCAATAGGGAGGGATGTTGAGCACGTAGCCCCGAGTGTCTACGATGCTCACTGTTTGAGTAGAAACTCCACAAGCACAAAGGCTGTCTTTTATTTATTATGTATTTATTTATTATGTATAGTGTTCTGTCTGCATGTATGCCTGCAGGCCAGAAGAGGACATCAGATCTCATTACAGATGGTTGTGAGCCACCATGTGGTTGCTGGGAATCGAATTTAGACCCTTTGGAAGATCAGTCAGTGCTCTTAACCACTGAGCCATCTCTCCAGCCCCAGCTATGTCTTTTCTTACTACTGCACTTTCAGGGTTATATGCAGCAATTAATATGTTGAGAGAATAAACGAATGAATTCATAACTAAACTTACAAGAACATAGGACAGGGAGTCCAGGATTGCTACCACCAGTGAGGCGTATACAGCCCCAAGCCCTTAAGGTTTCAAAACTCAGGTCACCTGTTCCTAACCTCACCACAAGCTCCAAAGACACACAGGTTTGGCAGAATTATTTTCACTTTATTTCTGGAGAAGTTTGATCAGATGTAGTAACACTGATTCCAGGCGAGGACAGAGGGCATTACCCCGAAGCAACCAGTATTTGTGTGGCCCAAGGTGCCCCCCTCGTTCCCAGACCTGGGTTCTCCCTCGGTTACAGTTAAATAGAGGAAGATGACCAGGGAGCCTTGGGAGGAGGGACTGCCTCCTGTACCCACCTCCTCCATGTAGAGGTGTCCGAGCACAAGCTATTTACAGTATTCACATCCACTGTACCCCACCAAACCAAGGCAAATACTACAAGTGGTCCTTCCCCAGGGGGAGGCCAGAGAGGCTGTGAGTGTATGTGTGTATGGGGAAGATGGGTGTCTGAGTGTGTGAGCACACAGATGCACTGAGGGGCAGAGTCTGCTTCCCGCCAAAGACACATCAGTCTAGAAGGTGCAGATTAAAAACAACAGAAAGGACCCAACCCGAGGGGCCCAGGCCACTTCCATCTTTGTTCTCTTTCTCTTCCAGACACCCAAGAGCTGATACATAGGAACCTTCAAGCTGCACCCGGGTCCAAGGCAATTGCTTAAAGGACTTCTGAGGGAAAGGAGATAGGGAAAAAGTCAGGGCTGGGGAGTCCCAGGTTGGAGGGGGGATTTTTGTGGGGTCCAAGAGCCAGGGTCCCTACAGTGCCTACCTGTGACCTGTGGGGGTTGCACCACTGCCTTCTTGAGGAAGGCTTCTGCCTCTGCAAATGGGAGGAGTCCCTCTGGTGTTCGACCCAGACTCTTCTCTCCAGCAGTTCCCTTTGGGGAGAAGCCATTCTCCTGGTGTGCTGGGAGAGGCTGCAGGCCATTTACCAGGGACCCTGGCATCTCCTTGCTTGGCAGACTGTGGATGTAGGGGTTCAGGGTTAGCATCTCACCTCCCTTGAGGAGCCCAGAGTCTATAGCTCCAGCATGCAGCTGCCTGGCTGGCTCAGAATCCCTGGGGTTGGGAGCTGGTACCTCCACTGTGGCTCCTGAGGGGCCAGCTCCTCTTTCTGCACAGAATCCTTCTGTAGTCCCGAAGGCCGAGTCTCTACAGCTTTCACAGGGTCTATCACAGTGAAGAAATGGCCATCAATTAGGAGCTGTTGAAGGGTAGGACTGGAGCTCAGGGGTGGCCAGGGCAAAAAAAATGAGAGTTGGGGGCTTTACCTGGGCCGGAATTGTTGGCTGTGGTCTCCTTTCCATCCTGCTTCTGCTTTGAAAGGAAGAGTCGTCAGGTGCAGGGCTGTGTGGATCCATTCTACCCTTCTACCGAACCCCTCCCTCCCAGCCGACACGGAAAAGCCTCCTCCACCACACTCTTCCTCAGTTCTGGAGGCTCTTCTGCAACCTCCTTTCCCCATCTCCCACTCAGCAACCTCCTTTCCTCATCTCCCACTCAGCAACCCGAGAATCCTGACCTTGGTTTCAGCAGCTTCTGACTTCCGAGTCCTCTTCATGATCTCCTCCAGCCGCTGTGAGGAGGTCCCACAGTAGTTAGGCCCCACCCAGACCTAATCCTCAATTTCTCACCAGCTGGCCTATTCTAGAGCTGGTACCTCACAGCCCATAACCAGTACTTCCTTGCTCTATCTTCTACAAACTCAAGCCCAGGCCCATTGGTTCTTTGATGCTATTTGCAGGAACTGGAGCCAGACCCAGGCCCCGCCCCCAGCAGGCCCCGCCCCGGCAAGGCCCCGCCCCCAGACCGCACAGCCTCGCACACCTTTCTTCGCTCTTGTCTCTCTTGCTCCTCCTTCTGGAAGTGCCTTTCCCGCTCCAGGCGCTGGCGCTCAGCTTCTTCCCGGGACCGAGCTTCAGCTTCCTCTTTCTGCCAAAGACCTCCATAAGCTTTGGGCTCCTTCCTGGCCAAACCCACCTAGAGCCATCCAAGATCTGTCCACCGACCCGCCCGAGCACCTGCTTCTGCAGCCGCTCCTGCTCCTCCTGCTCAGCCTGGGCCTTCTCTCGAGCCTCCTGCTCCTCCCGCCTCCGAGCCTCGGCCTCGCGCGCCGCACCACCCC